CCCCACAGACGTCTGATTGAAAATTAGAATGATGTAAATTGATGCTATCAGTGTCCCTGATACACATAAAAAGTGTAGAGAACCTCTTTACAAACCTCAGTAAGGTACAAAGTCTAAGTAAATTCAATGAATGTTGGAGCAGGTTGTTTATTGGTATGTGTTTGACCGAGCATACTCTACCCATTGCTTATTGTATTTTCTATTTATAACATTATATACATTCAAGGTTATTTTGCACGGTTCATTTGAACTAGCGATGATTCCTTTTGTTATCATTTTGATAGACCTGTCTACTATTAATATATCAATAGGGCCTTGACTTATTGTCTGTCTGTTTTTTTTGTTGTGGTTATAAAACGTCTTTTCCTTGGTCACGATTGAAAATGTTTTGGTTGTTCAGTTTTACCCTCATGCACAAAATATATTATCTTCTATTAATCTTCAAATGACTTAAAGAGATTGTAAAGAGGTTTTCTAAAAAAATTTATGTGTACCGGTATCAGGGACACTGATAGCATCAATTTACATCATTCTAATTTTCAATCAGACGTCTGTGGTTCTTGTTAAAGAGATTGTAAAGAAGTTTTCTAAATTTTTTATGTGTATCAGGGACACTGCTAGCATCAATTTACACCATTCTAATTTTCAATCAGATGTCTGTGGTTCTTGTTAAAGAGATTGTAAAAAGGTTTTCTAAAAAAATTTATGTGTATCAGAGACACTGATAGCATCAATTTACACCATTCCAATTTTCAATCAGACGTCTGTGGTTCTTGTTAAAGAGATTGTAAAGAGGTTTTCTAAATTTTTTATGTGTATCAGGGACACTGATATCATCAATTTACACCATTCTAATTTTCAATCAGATGTCTGTGATTCCTGCAATTCCACTTAAACTAAGTGTTTGATGATGTCAAAGCGTCATGCAGAATCCATGTCTAAATATGGACTATGAATTGTGTAGATTGATAATATGACCAATGAGATTATGAGTCTGTTGATGCTCACTTGTAAAAGTGATTCTGATATTCTGATTGGTTGGTCGCGCATATTTGTCTGCTATGAATTGCTTCAAGAAATGTCACCAGAACACAACCTTAATATAAATCTTGTTAGATTACAATTGAGACCAAGAAAAATAATAATAACGAAACGAAACGAAATCTAATTTTTATTAGATTGGGGTACAGGGGGCACGAATATTCATTACTGTTATCCATAAACAAG